TAGCGTTAACTTTAAAATAATTTGGTCATTTTTTAATTGTTTTGTCACAATTACATAAACTAAAATAGTTTTCTTCTTAAAAACTGGGTACATTACTCCAAAATAACTCCAATTTTGATAAAATTTGATTTGAGTGTCTGACTCAAAAAAGCTAAACTCTAGCCTAAACTAGCCCAAATGGCATCAATTTTAAAATATTTGTGTTATTTTTGACTTGTCTTGATAAAATTACAAGAAAATAATAAACTCAAAAAAATTACACCTCCCGTTGGGACACGCTTTATCATTCCTATTATTAATTAATTGCTTTTGTACTAAAAAACTGCTTGAAATTGTAATTATTTTATTTCAATGTTAGAGATGAGTAGTGTTTATAAAAATTAAACTAATAAAAAACACAGTATTTTCACACCCACATCTTAAATTGCCTTTAAAAACCAATTTTTTGAGTTAAATAATATGCAAGTTTGTTTAAATAAGTCATTTTTGGGTTCAGTAGAACCAGAGACTGTGTTTTAGCTTGGGACACTAATTTAGTTATTTCACATTTCTGAAGACAAGCTCAGGATCAAGTCCAATGCCAAGCTATGAATGGAATTTTTCGCACATAAAAATAACCCGAATTGTGTTTAAATTTTTTCAAACTCACCTGTGGTTGCTTTTGCCGTCGTCGTTGATAAAAGCCGGATTATCGACATGTCCACTCATTGTTCTAAATTATGTTGTTGAAAAAATCAATCTGGAAAAAGGACGAGCTTCGTTAAAAACCAACTCGACATAACAACTATCACTAATGTACTGGCAACGAATCTCCTAGCAGATTGAAACAAACTACAACTAAAAGGATCATAAAATATTTTTAATTTGTAGCAGAGACAAATACAATGCTACAAGGTGGAGAGTTCATATTTTTAAACGGATTTCGAGCTTTGGCAATTAGTGACGTCACGATTCGAATGTATACTTTGCGTTTCTATTTTTAAAAAACTTTAGAAGGAAGCTCGCTTTTTAGCAATTATATCATAATGTCCTTTTTTGTTGACACGGAAGGACAGAAACTGTTGTGTAACAATTTATATAAAAAAGTACTATTTTCATTATTATTAAACAGAAAATGAAATTTGCTATTAACACTAAAATTGGTGTTTTGACCAACGCAATATTTTTTTATCATTATCGATAATAATTATACCTACTTAAAAAAAATATTACAGTTTATGTTTTGCGATAATAAATTTACATACTTTTGTTAAACTTGCGTACGTTGTAACCGGTGAAAGAAATCAAACAAAATCTAATTAAAGTTTTGTTTGACACACAAGACGTAGTTTTAATCTAGATTTCATTATTTCATGGCCGCTACAATGCATATATTAGCTTTTTTCCTCACAAATGCAGATTATTGTTCATTTCTGCTTATATCTACACGCCTAATTTTAGTCGGAATAAATTATATTGAAACCTGTTACAGTAAAAATTCTCGTGTTGTTGAAAGAAACCAGAAGTTCTCAACTTTAATTGCAAACAAAGTGAATACTAAACAGTTAAATTTTTGCATATTGTAATTTCCGGATAATAGAAGGTTAGGGTCAGGTTCTCGTCCTTCTTGTCTTAACTTTCCCTTCAATCGAATGATAGGACAATTATTTATTGAAATTGAATTACGTCAGCTATATAATCACCGGTTAGGTGCACTGATATACTGCTTATCACTGAAATTGCAACATCAAGAAAATGACTTTTTAAATAATAAAAAAATTAGTTAATGCAAATGAATTTTTGGGATCAAGTTTAGGACCATACAAAAAAAGTGAAAGAACTGCCATAAAAAAGCCCCGAGTTGTACATAACTTTTTGCTCAGAATTATTTTTTATTCAGTTAATCAATCAATAAACACTAAAAACGTAAATTAAAGTAAAACAGTAAAAAAACATGTAGTAAATAATTATATTATCTTCAATAAATGACTAAATTGCTTCAGTTTTACCGATTAAGAAATGTTGTTTTTGTGAAAATACTAAAAGGTTACAATTAGTGATAATATTTTTAGAATGTAATGACTTTTTATCTTCAACAATTGTAAAAATAAATTATTGAGTAAACTGCCTCTAAAATGCCAAAGTGGAGCACTAAGCAAGAAACTTCAAACATTTTCAGTTTGAAAAAATTATGTTTCTAAAGATTTCCATTTTTTTATAGGTGTACTCGTAAGACTAGGTTTTCGAAAATCCTGTAGGACCAAATTTGACAAGTTTGTTTTAGAATAAAATTTTTTAGCAAAATTGTTAAACGTGCAACTTCGATTTTGAGATTGGAAGAAACAGTTAACAGATTTAATTTATATGGATAAAGTTTGATTCGGTGGAATCAATAAAAAAAAATGAAAAAGACATAATTTAGTTGAAACAAAATTTCATTAGACTGTTTTTTTACAAACAAAAACATTAGAAATGAACAAAATATTTTTGAATAAAAATCTCTGACTTAAAGTTTTGAGATGTCTAATCATCGGTTATGTCCTCAATTAGCATTTTTAGGGGCACAAATATACTGCTTATCACTGAAATTGCAACATCAAGAAAATCTCTTTTTAAATTATAAAAAATTAATTACTGCAACTGAATTTTTTGGGGTCAAGTTTAGAACCATACAAAAAAAGTTGAAAAGTGAAAGAACTGCAATAAAAAAGCCCCGAGGTGTACATAACTTTTTGCTCAGAATTATTTTTTATTTAATTAATCAATTAATAAACACAATAAAAACATAAATTAAAAAACCGTAAAAAAACATGTAGCAAATAATTATATTTTTATCTTGAGCATAAATTATTAAATTGCTACAGTTTTACCTATTAATAAATGTTTTTTTTTAATACTAAAAGGTTACATTTAGTGATAACACTTTTATAATGTAAATATTTTTTTGAGTAAACTGTACTATTTTAAGTTTTTCTCTAAAAATGCAAAGTGGAAAATCAAACAAGAAACTTCGAACATTTTTAATTTGAAAAAATTATGTTTTTAAAGATTTCCATTTTTTACAAGTATACTCATAAGAGTTTAGGTTTTCTAAAATCCTGTAGGACCAAATTTGACGAGTTTGTTGTAGAATGAAATTTTTAGCAAAATTGTTGCAAGTTTTAGAAAACGTGCAATTTCGATTTTGAGATTAGGAGAAACAGTTAACAGATTTAATTTATATGGATAAAGTCTGATTCAGTGAAACAAAATAAAAAAAGACATAATTTAGTTGAAATAAAATTTCATTAGGCTGTTTCTTACAAACAAAAACTTTAGAAATGAACAAAATATTTTTGACTAAAAATCTCTGACTTAAAGTTTTGAGATATCTAATTATTAGTTATATCTCCAATTAGCATTTTTAGGTGCACAAATATACTGCTTATTACTGAAATTGCAACATTAAGAAAATATCTTTTTCAATTATAAAAAAATTAGTTTTTGCAGCTAAATTTTTTGGGGTCAAGTTTAGGACCAAGAACTATACAGTACATAAAAAAAGTTAAATTGAAAAAACTGCAATAAAAAAGTCCCGAGGTGAACATAACTTGTTGCTCAAAATTATTTTTTATTTAAATAATCAATCAATAAACACAATAAAAACGTAAATTAAAGTAAATCAGTTAAAAAAACATATAGTAAATAATTAAATTTTTATCTTGTGCATAAATGACTAAATTGCTATAGTTTTAACTATTTAGAAATATTGTTTTTTTTTTAAATTAAAAGGTTACAATTAGTGATAACATTTTTATAATGTAATGACTTTTTATCTTCAACAATTTTTTTTTTTTTGAGTAAACTGAATTGTTTTAAGTTTTTCTCTAAAAATGCCAAACAAGGAACTTCCAAAATTTTTAGTTCGAAAAAATTATGTTTCTAAAGACATCCAAGTATACTCGTAAGACTCTAGGTTTTCTAAAATCCTGTAGCACCAAATTTGACGAGTTTGTTTCAGAATGAAATTGTTGAAAGTTTTAGTAAACGAGATTGGAAGAAATTGTTAAGAGATTTAATTTTTATGGATAAAGTTTGATTCGGTGAAAAAAAATTAAAAAAAATAAATAAAAAACACATAATTTAGTTGAAACAAAATTTCATTAGACTGTTTTTTACAAACAAAAACTTTATAAATAAACAAAATATTTTTGACTTAAAATTATTATCGCTATGTCAATTCACGTTTTTAGGTGTTACACTTTCAGTGACACATAGTATACAAGTGAATTCAAAAGTCTTGAACCACCTTTTGGATAGTGATAAGAGACATCTAACTACGTTAAAAGTTTCCAGGACAAAAAATGTTTGAGTTTTTATTCACGAGATACAGCTTTTTAAAGAGTTAATTTTGGTCTAGTTCACCAATCGAGAGTTGATTTTTTTAATCACGCTGTATATTGACAACAACCGATCAAGTGTAAAGTTTGAGTGTAATTATGGTCAAATTATGAAAATTTATCAAGCGTGTCAGGTTCAAAACATAAAACTCATCGGTTTTCTTCCACCCTATGTGAATAAATTTAAATAGAGAGAAAATCTAATAAAACGACTTGTTTGTAAACAAATATCGGTAATGCAACTGTTTCAAATGACAATAGTAATTTTTCCGTGTTTGTGGAAAAATTTAATTGATTTTTTTCCGGTTAAAACGAGTTAATTTGTGAATGGTGCTCCTTGTCAATGATGATAATAATTATCGATGATGATAAAGATCGCCCCATTTAGAGTTTTCGGAAAAGATTTGCATTGCGATTCAGCCTTGACAAAATTCTAATGAGACTATAAAGAGACACATTATCAGAGAATGAAAGAAGATGAAAATGAATTGTAGTAGGACGAATTGGTCCACGTGTAGGCCCCACTCACAATTATTATAATATTATGCAATTCTTCTATGGACTTAAGTAGAATTCTCGACCTCATTGCAAAAATAATTTCTCAATAGAGCCATCGGAGGAAAACGCTTATTATCTATTAACTAAAGTGGTTTTTTATTGCGGACTTGATACAATAAATATCAACAAATATGTAAATGCAGATTAACACTCCTGTTGTATCAAACTAGGAATAAATATTAAATTTTATTTGCGAAAATATTACTGTGTAAAAATAGTTCGAAATTAAGTAAATGTAATAAATTAGTTTGAACCGACGAAAAATTCCGTATTCCTAATGTAAACTAAATAAAAATATATTATATCATAAATCTGTGGTTGTGTCATCTTTTGGAGAATCTGTATTTATAATAGTCAAATATTATGAAATTTATGAATGAACTTGAATGCAAAACAAATAATTGCAAACCCCGGTTTAAAAAAAAAGTCAATTTACCTTAATTAGATTTGGCTATTTTGGTGGGGACTGAAGACACTCCAGTTTCGGTGCAAAACACATAACAATGAAAGCCGCCACTGTAGTTGTTAACATCAGCGTTGCAAACAATAAACAAAAAGTTCTACCGTAAAACCTGTCGCTTTTATAATATCTCGCTGATTGTTGACAGACGATTGCGATGAAGTGAGCACTTCAGTTAAAAGTTTCAGGTATTCCTTCGGAAATCTCCACTGTTTTCTTAACCTCGATAAATATGATGTTGTTACAAATTGACAATTTAAATGTAAAAATTGAATTAACGACTCGTATAGTCACTTAATAATGTAATTGCTCCGGTAAATAGCTTGTTTTTTGTGTATCTTTGTACTTTACGAGCTTGGGGCTCTAAAAATTTCGCGGAGGTGGAGGTGGAGATTCACACCTCCAAATCAAAATTCTACGAAATCAAGGTTTGTGGTTTCAGCCATTTTTCAAATACAGGAAAACACATTCAAGTGGCTCTCTTCAAGTGAAGTATTTTCGCGATCTGGCTTTTGGATCAAGGAAAAGTGTTTTTTCACAAGGATTAAGTTTTTGAATTATTTTATTGTCAAGTCAGAATAAATTCAATTTGCTCACTAAAAAGAAAAAAAATTCCATAATTTTTCACATGACGTTTGTGGTGCCAATTACCCATAATTGCACAAAACTTAAACAAAGAAACTCCAGTGTTGAGACAATTCCTGAAAATGAATGGAAATATATTTTTTATGTTAGCTGTGCATCGAAAATAGTTTTTTTTTAATTTGTTTGCTTTTTTAACTAGAGCACCTTGAAACTATAACTAGTAAAAATGAACAAAGCATAGGAATTTGTGTAAAGTTATGTTTTTTTTTGCAAAATGCTCAAAGTTGTACAAGTGGTACTTGTTTTTGTTCCGGTTGGTAAGCAGAAAGGTCTACTTCGAATACATTTCTTATTAGTCATCATTTCTTCCTGATTTTGTAATTATTACTATTAAGTCGTTGCTCAAGATGAAAGATCTTTGAGTAAATTGTGCGCTTGGTTTAAATTAACCTTAATCTTTTTTAAACTATGTGCGAAAACTAGAAATTTCTATGTTTGCTAAAAGAATTTTACTTCGTCGTTTATAAGATTTTAATATTTGCTTAGTAATTAATGCAAAATAAGCTACTTGAACGTTTCACAATTTGGTGATAAAACTCGAAAGGTTTCTGAAACTTATCGCAATTAGGTAATTTATTTCAAGTGTTTTCAGTTTAAAGCAGAAATCAAAAATTTGGGAACTGATTGTATTTGTATTTGGGTTAATAAAAATTGACAAAATTTGGAAATTTGTAAGAGTAATTTTAAAATATGCGACATTATCTAAATCCATAAATCTCAAAGGTGCTATGAGCTATGGCGTTTGTGAAAATAGTCTATAATAAGAAAGAAAATCTTTCTCTCAAATAATCCCAATTTCGATAAAATTTGCTGATATTTTGTCTTGTTTTTCACTCAGAAAAAAATAATTTTTCGAAACAGCCAAAAATAGCGTCAATTGTAAAATAATTAGGCTATTTTTTGACTTATTTTGACAAAATTTTAGAAATAAGAGAGTTATTTTTGAGGAAATCGCTGGAAGCAGACAAAAATAAGGTCAATTTTGATCGCATTTCATGTTCTTCTGAAAAAACTACAGTACTAATGAAATTTCCTCCTCAAAAACAAGTTAAATCATTCAAAATAGCGTTAACTTGAAAATATTTGCTTATTTTATGAATTGTTTTGAGGAAATTAGCTGAACTAAAAGAGTTTTTTTAACTTAAAAACTGACTCCTATTTTGATAAAATTTAATTTGTGAGTTTCTCACTCAAAAAAGCTAAATATATCGAGCCTAAACTAGCCCAAAATAGCATCAATTTTACGTTTGACTTGTTTTACAAGAAAATAGTAAAGTTTTTCACTCAAAAGCGACAAAATTAAGGTCGATTTTTTGTTTGAACAAAATCTCAGGAAATAATATGTATTATTGTTGTGTGTTTTAAAATTATCATGTGATTTGGTTTGAAGTTTTTTATTTTGTAAAAAAAACAATATATTTTTAGATAATGTGTAGGAAAGCACAATTCGGCTTGTAATATTAAAACAATTGATAAGAATTTATTGAACTGTTTCCCACAATCGTACAAGTTTCTCAATACCAAATTTTTAGATTCGTAACATTTTAAAGCAAAGATTATCACATCGCATGAAGGAAAGATACCAAAATTTCCCTTTTTCTTTCTAGAAACTCTCAAATGGCTGATAATCTAATTCAACAATAGTCCTTTGTTCAACACTTTTTATTTTTTTTAAGTATGATAAATAATGATAAATAAGCGATATGGCAACGAAAAATACAAAATTTTAATAAAACTTTCTGAAGGCCTTTTCTCTCAAACCGAAACGATTCTGAAAATTTTAAAAAAATGATGATTACATGATTATTAATTCTTTTCATTACACAATTTGAAAAATGAAAAAAAAAAAAAATAGGTAAAAATTTTAATTAAAAATACCAAATAATTTGTTTTCTGAGATTAACTAACCACATTAATTGTTCTTTATAATGGACACATTTTACACGTACAAATAATTATTTTTTTACAACAACATAAAATTTCAGCATTTTTAAAATGTCACAAAAATTATAATGGCTGAATTATGTTTATGAAGTCGTAAAATATGCGAAAATATTTCAGATGATTAGTTGGTTATTTCAGGGATAGTGATATCTCAACATTTTTTTTAATATGGAAATATGAAAATTGTTTTCAGTAAAGTGATACAAAATATGTAAACAAATTGAATATTTTTTACAGTAATCCAAGCTGCATCAAGTTTTCTATTAATAATTTAAATAAAAAAATATTTTTATTGAATAATAGTAATTGCAAAGTACCAGTTACAAAAGACCTTGAAAGTGTACAATAAAATTATAATGAATTCTAGTTGTTAAAAATAAATTGAAAATTATATTATTGTGGCCTACATTTTGTCATCATTATCCAATTTGGGTTGGTATAGTCCTGTGAAAATTTCAATTATTTTTTTTGTTGCAACAAATGCATCATATAATCAGCACTTGTAACTTATCATCACTAACCTGCCTAAAATTTGGTTGGCAACTCCTTAACTAAGCAAAAATGTGATAGTAGAAAAATCACACTTAACCTTTTGACGGTGTAGTAGAATTTTACTACATTTTATGAATCACTAATGCATAGATATGAAGAGCGTAATGAAAAAACACTTGAAAGATTAATTAAAAGTGATATGAGAATATCAAATGCATGTTTTGTATATTAGCGAAAATGATTGATCTTTTTGCAATTAATAATTTTTTTCTAACAAAAATGTACGATAGAGTTTGAAGTAGTTTTTGTTTGGTTAAATTAAAACTCATGTTCCTTGCAAATAAATCAAATCAAAAACTCGCCTTTGACAACCTTCTTCACCTTGGTAGAAAATAATAATGGGAAAACCATGAATTGTTAAGTAGTACACATTCTGAGAAAGGCTACAAATAATGTTTTAGAGCCACTGACCGCTACCGCAAATTCGCCAAAAATGAAACCGTTAAAAAATATAAACATTTGCATATTGTTTCTCTCTCGAAAAAAAAAACACTCGCTTTTGGGTGATGATGTCAGAGAGATTTAAAAACGAAGATTCCAGTTCAAATTTTTTTAATTCATAATAAAAAGTAGTGAAGGTGAAATGAACAAGGCCTGATTTTGATGTAAACAAGTTATATAAAATTGAGTTTTTACATTTTTATTTATTTTTCATTTTATCCTTTTACATATTCTATTTGTTTGTTTTGGTTTTTTAATTTATTCAACAATAACGTTTTTTTCTTTTTGATGAATTAACAAAATTAATATTTTTGGGTTGTGGTGGTCGAAACTTGTTTAGTCTAGATAGAGCCAGATGCAAAAATCTTGTCTTGTAGTTTTTTCTCGTATGTCGTGTGTTAATTTTTTATAGCTCGTTTCCGTGTAGAACATGAATATTTACGAACGCTAAATGTTTGAAATTCTGCCGAAATAATTAAGCAGAATTTTTTTTGATCTATTTGTATCAAGAAATATTGGAAAGATGATTGTATTTTATCAAAAAAAAATATTTTAAACTATTTTAAATTATTATTTATCAAGTAAATAAATACTCACAGTTATAGGCAGCCAACTTAACACTTAAAACTTTTTCCATAAATTTTTTTTTTCTTTATAGGCAAAACTGTTAGATTTTTTTTTAACCGTGTAAAACACAAAGTATGCTTTTTGTCATTTGCACCGTTTTCGTGTGTTTCTTATACACATAAATCACTTTTCTTGTACTAAATTAAGTTTCAAAACATCAATATAAAACGTGTTTCGGTTATATTACGAGTTATTCAAGGTTTTAATTTCTATTTCTCAAGGACTAATGGTAAATCAAAACACTGTCAGAATTTCTGATTCTATTTTAATGAATACAGTTGAACCTCTATATAATGATTAAAAGCCACGTGACCCGAATAACTAAAATAAGTGGGGCTAATATAAAATATTTAACAGTCACGTGGTTTTGTCATTCCTTCAGACTATCGAGGTTGTACTGTAAATAAAAAAGAGTTTAAATAATTTTTCAGATTATTACTAAAATTTTTCAGATGCCAAGTAAAAAGTACAATATTATGTGATTAAAACATTCTTGTGAAATAATAGATTAGAAGGGAAAAAATAACGAGTTATAAAAGTGCAAATTTGTTTTAAGCATTGTTAACCTTGAACTTTATAGTACAATTCTTTCATTTGTTACATTTAACTATAAAAAAATTTTAATTAACACTTAACGCAACAACAATCATTTTATGTCAAATTCTAGCGTTTAAGACTTTTGTGTTTCTAGAAAAAAAATTGTAAATTTGGTAAATCTCAAAAAATAATATTTGTTTAAACGTGGCATATTTGGGGTTATTAATATCAGTTAGCTTTTTGTTAAAATAAAAGAAATCGATCAAATTTTTTTGTTTTTTTTAAAGATCTGTTTGTTATCACACGAAATATGAAAAAGTACTCACCAAATTGGCACTTTTCACTTCACATTTGACGGTAAGAGTTACTAACTTATTTCACGTCGCCACTGTGAGTAAGACAGAATTGGATCGATGTTAGATAAAAATCTAAGTCAAGTCCGTTTAATGGTAATTATAGTACAAGTAATTTTGCACTGTAGGTATTATGTTGGCATGTCGAATGCGAAAAGACTTTCTATTTCAACGAGTTTCTAGGTTAATACAGTAATGTTCAAAATTTTTAATAAACAGGTTTATTTTGCAACTGTATTAATTGTGTAATACTTTCAACTGCAAATCATAAATAACTAAATAAAAACAAATACAATGCAAAATTACTGCAAATACAAAATTAACAATATAAAATGTTCCAAAAAAAAGTCGTAAAATATTTGAGTTATTCTAGTAATTGTTGGAAAATGGAAATACCACTTGCATTTTGTCAAAGACCTTCAGTTCCTAATTTAGTGATTTTTTACGTTATTTTGATAAAAACCGAGTTTTTCGCTTGAAAAATGTTCAAATGTTTGAAAAAAAACAGAAATAACATAATTTTTTGGCTTGTTTGAGCAAAATTTTGCGAGAAAAATGCGTTTCTGACTGAAAAACGTATAAAATCACCTGAAAAAAGTAAAAATCAATTAATTTTTTATCTGAATTGTTTACTTTTCAGCTTGTTTTGATAAAACCTCGCTCAAAAAGGACAAAAACAGACCCAATAAATAATGCTTAATCTAATTTGGTGATTTTTCCTCTTATTTTGACAAAAAAAACCTGAATTTGTAGCTTAAGAATATGCTTAAATGTTTGAAAAAGTTATAAATAACATTTTTTTGCTTTGATTAAGCAAAATTTTGACAAAAACAACTGAAAAAACACCCGAAAAAGTCTAAATAATGTATTTTTTGACCAAATTTATAAAATAATATATTTCTCTCTTAAAAATGACCAGCATCAACCAAAATTAACTAAAATAGATTTAATTTGGTAATTTTTCACTTTGTCTGAATCTAATTTCTTGAAAAAAGTGCGTTTTTGACTGAAAAGTGAGTTGAAAACAATCGAATAAAACAAATATTTTCAATATAAGTGATTTTTCGATGTAGTTTGCTGAGATCTTAGATATTAAATGTTCAGCTTGTTTTGATAAAATCTCGCCCAAAAACAAGCTAAATTAAACAAAACATATTAACAAACCTAATAAATAATGCGACTTTTAATCTAATTTGATGATTTTTCCTCTTATTTTGACAAAAAAAAAACTGAATTTGTAGCTTAAGAACATGCTTAAATGTTTGAAAAAGATATAAAAAACATCTTTTTTACCTTGTGTAAGTCAAATTTTGAAAAAAACAACTGAAAAGTAAATTAAAAACAATCGAAAAAAGCAAATATAAACTCATTTTCTATATAATTCAGTGATTTTTCGATGTAATTTGCTGAGATTTCAGATATTAAATATTCAGCTTGTTTTGATAAAATCTCGCCCAAAAACGAGCTAAATTAAACAAAACATTTTAACAGACCTAATAAAAAATGCGAACTTTAATCTAATTTGGTGATTTTTCCTCTTATTTTGACAAAAAACTAAATTTGTAGCTTAAAAACATGCTTAATTATTTGAAAAAGACACAAATAACACCTTTTTTATCTTGTTTAAGAAAAATTATAGAAAAAACAACTGAAAAACACCTGGAAAAGTAAAAAATAATCTATTTCTTGACCAAGTTTTGTAAAATAGTAAACTGTTCCTTTAAAAATGACCCACATCAAGCAAAATTAACTAAATAAATTTAGTTTGATAATTTTTCAGTTTGTCTGAAACTAATTCGTTTTTGATTGAAAAATGAATTAAAAACAATAGAAAAAAGCAAATATTAACTAATTTTTAGTATAATTCAGTGATTTGTTGACGTAGTTTGCTGAAATTTATTTAGCAAAAGTGATTTCCGACACAAACAGATTGTTTAAACAAAAACAACACCATCTTTAACTTAATTTGGTGATTTTTTGGTTTGTTTAAGTAAAACTTTGGCAAAAATTGCGCATTTGTCTAAAAAAGAAAAATAATTTTTAGTTTATTTTTTTAGAGTTTTGATATGACTTTGTATTCAATTTTATTACCGTAATAACTTATGCAACTAAATAAACATAACGGTTTTTGTTTTTTAGTGAGACTTTGTTTTAATTTCTTTGTTAATTTAAGTCGGAAGTGAGGTGATTAAAATTTATTAGTTTCTAATTTTATTTATGTGCACCTAAGAAAAAACTTGAAGTGAAAACGACTAAAATAATCTTTTTAAACAACAGAATTGTTAATTTGTAGTGTTTATAAGTAATCATCTGATATTCTCTTTGTTCCTTTTTGGTTTTAATTTTTTGGACACATGCAAACATCATTCAAAAAACGAGCAAAAAGAAATATAAAACAATGAAAATTTTAAAATCTCTAAATCATCAAAATCTCGAGACATTTATTTGAAAATTAGAAAATGAAGAGTAAATCTTACTACTTTGACTAGAAATTTTTATTAGAGATAAATAGCTACACACTACAATTTCAAAAATAGTCAAGAAAAACATCATAATCGTCATTATTCTTATACTTTTCCTTAAGTATATCGCCCATTTGTTCTCCAACCATAACAGCAGGTGCAGTGGGATGTCCCGCCAAAGCAAAAGGAAAAACACTTGCATCAGCGACTCTCAACTTCTTTATCCCAAAAACCTTCAATTCCGAATCCACGACAGCCCCCTCTCTGGGATTTCGTCCCATGGGACATGAACCCAATGGATGATACACATTTATGGTAAGTTGTCGTATGGCACAATACCAATACTCCCGACTCAAAAACTGGTAGTGACTACAAGCCGTCAATTGACCACCAGCTAAAGTCGCATCCATGGATCTGAAAGCTCGAGTTTGGGACATCTGCATAAGCAATTCCACTCCTTCGTAGAGCACATTTATGTCTTTATTTTCGGGATCTGAGAGGAAATTTGCGTCGATTAGAGGGAATTGAAAGGGATCTTTGCTCCTAAGTCGAACAGTTCCACTCGATTTTGAGTGTAAGGTTATGACATAAACTGCGAAGGTACTACCCACGTCTTGGTACCGATACACATCATCGTACGTTTGGTCGGTTAATCTGAAGGCTCTTTGTTGTAAAACAGTCGAGGCGACGGCTGGGATAAACATAAATTCAAGATCCGGAATTCCGGTACCTCTGGTGTAGCTTGATTCGTAAAAACCCACTCCTTGGTTATTCCCCGGAATTGCTAAAGGACCAACTCCTCTAAAATACTGTTGAATATAATCCTCTAAAGGTTCAATCGGTTCGGTGTAATTCGTCCGGAATGCAACTCCATAAAACGTGGGATTATCCAAGAGAGTACTCCCAACTTCCAAATCTTGAACAACTTCAATCCCCAAGTCCTGCAAGTGGTACCCAGGCCCAATCCCGGACAACATCAGGAGTTGCGGCGTGTTGAACACCCCCGCTGACAAAACCACCTCTTTTTTCGCCCTCACGAAATAATTCCTCCCTCCGTGAGTGAACTCAACTCCAATCGCTGAACGAGTGAATTTATCAATGACAATTCTCGTGACGAAACTCCCAGTGAGAACTTTCAAGTTTGGACGGTTTAAAACAGACCGGATGAAGGCTTTCCCTGTGTCCATTCGGGTACCAAAAGCTGTGTTGAGTTGGGCACTTGAGGCGCCTAATCTGTTGGCGTTGTAATCAGCAACTCCCAAACCCATTTCTCTGTTGGCTTCCAGAAACACGTCCAGTTGGGGACTTCGGGGTAAGTGGTGTTCCACTTGCCAATAACCCCCAGTGCCGTGGTATTCGGGCTCGTAAGGTTGGGTGTAGTCGCGGTAAACGAAGTTTTCCGACTTTTTGAAGTATTGGAGGACACTTGGGTAGGACCAGCGGGAGTTTCCGACGAGCTGGCCCCAGTAGTCGAAGTCGGTTTTGTGGCCGCGGGAGTAGATAAGGCCGTTGATTAGGGTGGAACCACCAACACCGCGACCTCGAGGGTAGAAGCATTCCTGGTCTATCAAACCTAAAAAAGCATTACTTCAATACATATTTACTTTTAACATTAGCATGATCAATTTGTATGTGCAAATAAAATTGATTGCTTATTTTTCGTAACTACTAATAAAATTAGGGTTTTTTCTTCCACTGGTTTGTCATTCGACATTCTTATTCAGGAAAATTTTAGTTCTTTTTGTTTTCAAGTAACTAGGATTAGTTAAACATCAGTTTCTAATTTGGTGATTTTTTACCTTCTTTTGACAAAAAAACAAGTTTTTCGCTTAAAAAATGCTCAAATTGTTGGAAAAAACAAAAGTAACATCATTTTTTGGCTTATGTGAGCGAAATTTTGTCAGAATAGTGCGTTTCTGACTAAAAAACGTACTCAAACACCTGAAAACGTTAAAAATAATTTAATTTTCTATCTAAATTGCTCCTTTTTTAGCTAACTAAATTGAGAAAAACAGTTCCGAAAAATAAAATCACTTTTAATATAATTTAGTGATTCTTCACCTTATTTTGACAAAAAAACTGAACTGATGCTCAAATGTTTGAAAAAGACACACTTTATGCCTTTTTTATCTAAGTTTTACACCTTTTCAGCTTTTTGATAAAATCTTGCTTATAAAATGTGCTAAATTGAACAAAATAGTTCTAAAGAATAACGCCACACTTTTAATTTAATTTGGTGATTTTTCCTCTTATTTTGACAAAAAAATTGAATTTTTAGGTTAAGAACATATTTAAATGTTTGAAAAAGATACACATAACATCTTTTTTTGCCTTGTTTCATCAACTGAAAAAACACTAGAAAAAGTCAAAAATAATGCAGCATCAAACATTAACTAAGACAGAGTTAGTTTGGCAATTTTTCAATTTGTCTCAATCTGATTTCATGAAAAAAGTGCGTTTTTGACTGAAAAATGAGTTAAAAACAATCGAAAAAAGCAAATACAAACTCATTTTCAGTATAATAAAAAAAGTGATTTCTGACACGAAAAAAGCAAGAATAACGCTTTTTTAACCTAATGACCTGCATCAAGCAAAATTAACTAAAATAGATTTAGCTTGGTAATTTTTTACTTTGTCTGAATCTAGTTTCTTGAAAAAAGTGCGTTTTTG